GCTCGGACGACCGGGCCGGGGGGGTTGGGGGGCCGACCGTGATAGGGAAGCTAATGGTTTTGACTGTGAGTCTTGTGGAGGAGACAGTCGAATCGTTCGAGTGGAAGGATCGGGTGCTGGATGTCCACACGTACACCTGCCCTACGAAGCTGATAGTTGAGCTGGACCCAGACATGACTACGCGTTTACAATGGAGGGATTATCGGGTGTACGAGACGCACTAGTTTTGACGACAGAGGAACTGCAAGGGTGGAACGCCTTGCCTACCCTTCGGAAGACTACCTCCGGGACGACCCCCCCTCTCCCTGTACACGATGAGCTCATCCACGAGACCAACCAGACCAACCAGACGGGTGAGGCGGGAGTGTCTTGAGAGTCCTCCTCGGCATGTATCAAAGGAAAGGTCCTCTGCACGTACTGCCCCAAGGAGATCAACATCAAGAGAATGCGGCTTCATATCGCGGGGCACATCCTTGAGAAGGTGGGTGGGGGGTGCGGTGGCGTACGTAGCATCCACATCATGCTACTTTAGCCATCATCACTAATATCTTGCTTGCGCGTGTACGATATTGAGACTTACCTGCCCAGGACTTGACGGGCGTATGTGGCTTCTGTGGTCAAGACAATGGCTGCATCTCTTGGGTGAACACTCCCCAGACTGGAAAAGCAGCTCAACGGGTTTATTCCCGATGCCCTTGGACTCCCAGATCCGCCAAGGACGAAGGTTCCATCGTCTCGATAACCCTGAATTCGGCTAAGAAATATACCTGGAACATGCCGTGTACCAATGTGCCGATGGAGTGCATATTCTGTAACCGATGGGAATGGAAATACTCCATAAGTACCCATGTTGACGACTTACACGCTGCGGACGCGAAACTGAGGAAGACCGACTCGAAAGGTCCACAGTTTCTACAGAGCATTAGTGTGGGCGAAGGCGAGAAGAAAGCTGTGGGCGCAATGCTCCAAAAGGATCTAAAAAGAGTGGGTGGTGGTGCACACAAGGCCAAGGTGGTGTTTCGTGGGAATACCACGGGAAGAACTGGAGCCAGAGGCAAGGGTGGCAAAGGAAACCATCGAGTGGACACCCCCAGCGAATCGAGAGATTCTTCCAGCGACTCGAGCGATGATTCCTCCATCGAGTCTGACAGTGGTGATGATGAGGAAGAGAACGTGATTGAGGACGACGAGGAGGACAACGAACAGGGGGACGAAGAAGAAGAAGAAGAAGAAGAAGAAGAAGAAGAAGAAGAAGAAGAAGAAGAAGACGACGACGACGAGAAAGAGGAACAGAGAGAAGTCGGCGGCGAGGGGGCGGCGGGTGGTAACGACCACCGCGCGTCTATGGAAGTTTTGTGTATAAGTAGGTTTGGCCGAACAGTAACGAAGAAGAGGAAGTGGAAGGAAGGCTAGTCATAGGATGATGACTAGTGGCAGGAACGCGAGTGGAAGAGGCGCCTTATTGTGGGCGGGGGCAAGGCAGGGAAGGAGAACCAGCTTGCGAAGAATCGCCTGAGCATGTACTTTCTGGGGTACTTGCGCCATAAAACACAGCCGAACTCTTACCGGAACCAAGCTTGCCGGGACTGGGATAAATATTGTTGTGTGTTGGTGTGAACCACATGTGTTTGTTGTTGTTTTCACGTTCAAAGCCGTTCCGATCTCTAAGCCCACTACTTTCGTCTGTTTTTACTGATCTAACGGTAGACGCAGTCGATTCCGGCGGCCACAGGCTCGGGCAAACTCAACTGAAAAGGAAGAACCCGCAAGCCAATAGAAATCAACGACAGCATATAAATCATACAAGGTCTCCCTTCGGGACGTGGGTGTCTACCCTCCCTCAGGTGGCGCAAGACCACATGCGCATTGCCCGAAGAGGGACTGTGTGTCTTACAACGCTTGTATTTCCGCACACAACATCGCGCACGTTGTTATTCTACATTGGAGCCAGCTCGAGCGGACAATATTTTGGCAGCGAAAACTCAGACTCCATGTCTTTGAATGATGATGGCAGATTTCCGTCGAGAACCGAATTTGAAGCCGAAACAACACCACAAATGGGACATGTTCAACACTGCGGCTGGATGCATGCTCTCAGACTTGTCTACACTTGGCCCGCTGCGAAGTGTAGTAAACGTAGGTACTGCTGTTGGACAATGCCATGACACGAAGAGTCACAACCATGAATCATCGAATTAATGAATGGATGAATGAACGAATGAAAGTGGAGTGGCAAGAGGCAAATATTTCAAACCGTCGCACTTGATGGGTTTGATAGGTTTCAGAATTGGTTCGCCAGGCTTTGTCAGCGCGGAACGCGTCCCCGGGGTTTTGAGCCAGTTTTCGCAACTTTGGCCGTCAACCGCCCGTCCGTCCTACGGAGGCCTACCGAGCTCCGGGCACGGGCGCTAATGTACCGACGAGCCTCCTGCGTGTCCCTGAGAAGGAACCGCGAGAAAAGACTCGCTGCCGCGAGAGAAGGAAACGCCGAAGCATGAAAAGTGACCAGATCTTATATGTATATATGCAAGTAATCTCCACCCCCCCCCCCCCTCCCTCTACAAGTGAGATAACCAACGATGAAACCGAATGTCACAGCACCGGCCGGAGAAGCACAGCGTCCTAACCCAATACTGCCGGCGGCGTGGTGTTCCGTGCCGGGTCCTCGCCGATCGATCAGGCCGAGTTGGCAAACAATCTACAACAACAGCAGTCCTCTTGATACCACTCTACAATTATTTGTGACTACACATTCTACACCCAAGTCACGCAGTTGAGATTTATCATTTCGACAATCTCTTATTATTGACCACCTAGAGACACACGGCAGCAACAGGGATTCGAAATACGCACTATGTGTCGAGATTCTTTTCGTTTCATTTTGGGCCGGCTGAGGTGGGGGGGGGGTCCAGATTTGTTTTTTCGTGTACCCTTGAATTAATGGGTGTTTTTTTAGTATTTTCTGTCTAGGCCAGACTACGGATAAGAGATGGCGGGCCTCTACCGTAAGGGGCGGGGAGAGAGAGATGGCACCCCCCTCAGACCGACTTCCAAGGCTTGATTGCCTCACAACAAAGCATGTATGCGGATGGAGAAAGAGCCCGCCCGTTATGTCGACGGAAAACCCTCAACGAACGCGATGTTACCAACTGCCAACATTTTTGGTGCCGACATAATAATATATAAGAAGAGCTTGGTTGATTTGTGGAGCAATCGAGCTTTGAAAATCGGTCTATCTACCGGGGGGTGCCATCTCTCTCCGTCTCTCGGGGTATTTTTTTTTGTAATTTTAGCCGAGGCTGTAGGACGGCTTTCATTGAAGGACGGCATCTTCCATGAAAGTAGCTTCCATGTACCAGGTTTGTTGGAGGGCTCGAAGGTAGCCTCCGTGGAAGCTTCAAAACTGCCATGAAAGTAACTTCCTTCCATGGAAGGAAGCGTGTTTGTTGGTGATGTCTGACAACGTCCTTCCATATGAACAACTTCAAACACAAAAAAAAGGAGATAACAGCACACTCCACACAGAACACTGCTGCTATACCCGGTGACACTCTCAAAAAAGGAAACGCGTTTTCAGTCACTTGGGTGTGATGGTTTCGTCGTATACGGTAGCCCACCATGCTACGAAGGTGTCGCCTGTCTTTTCCCGTCCCTTTCGGAGAGTCCTGAAAAAAAGAGTGCAAATGGTAGTCGTGTTTGGGTTCCTACAAATAAATTACGTGATCTAAGAAAATACTGATGATTCGGTGCGACGTCCTCCAGGTCCTTCACGATGACTTCCAAGGAAGCGGTCAACCTAGTGAATGACTGCCATGGAAGCTTCCCGTGCAAGCCTCCACAAACAAAACCCTCCGTCCTTCCATGGAAGCGGGGCTCGGGTGATGACATACTTCCGTGGAAGTTGTGCCATTAAGCTTCGGCTTCCACGGAAAGAAGCGCAAGCTTCCATGGAAGTCGCTCGGGTACCTCCCCTGCCTGAACTCCCACGGAAGGTCCCTAAATCGGTCTCTATGACTTCCATGGAGGTAGAATTCCACTTCTTCCTCCATGGAAGCTACACACACACATTCGTAAACAGTATATGAGCCGCGGAGCGGCGACAGCCGCAACCTTTCGTTTCCCTCCCGGAGGCCATGTAAACATACATTGTGTGATTGCGCAAGCTGCATGGTCATACTCTTCTTCTCTCTGCCTGTCTCTCAACGAGCAGCTAGTTATTATTGTCGGACCCACACGCAACAACACATCAAGAGCCCGCTAGGGAAACGTGGCGCAAAACAATACGACCGTGAGAGGCGGAGAGATGGCACCCCCCCTAGACCGATTTTCAAGGCACGCTTATCCGACATCGAAGATGGTGCCAACACCAAGCCATGGTGGTTTTGGAAACATCTCGTTGAGGGATTTCCGTTGACGTATCGGGCTCTTTCCGAACCCCCATGGTTGTGGAGCAATCGAGCTTTGAAATGGGTTCCCCGGGGGTGCCATCTCTCCGCCTCTTATTATGGTATACGAAGTAATTCGTAAACTTTGAGCTGCTTGCCTTGTCGTTTGTTTAGGCAAGCTTAAAGCGCGCCACAATCAAATCGTGCTGTGTGTACGTGTACACCCGCAGGTGACAGGGGCGAAGAAAGCCGCGATCGTCAGCAGGAAGGAGCATCCGCTGGCGAAACCGCCGGTTCCTGAGGACAAAAAAAAAAAAAAAAAACGATGCCGGGGGGCGTCGGCCGCCCTCGGAAGCAGGCATCGGCGCTCCGTTTTCACAGCAGGGGGGGGGGGTGTACTCATAGTCGTGCGTGCCGTAGTCGTTAGACCATTGACCTCGCATCCTTTCAAAGCAGGGGCGGAGCACGCCGGGTTCTCACCGGACCAGGCTCTCACTTACGGGTTTCCAAACGGCTACGTAGACAACCCTACTGCTGCTGGAAAAAACGGGCTTTAGCTACTTCCTGGCACACCGCACTACTGCCCTTGCCGGCCTCTCTGGTGGGAGTTAATTATGTTGGAAGCCAAACCAATGATACTGGGTGTGCAGTGTTTTTTGTTGTATTGATTTTGTGCTTTATTATTTTCGCTTTTGGTTTTGGGGACGCAATATCGAACCATTTAGACTAGACTTGTCAGCGCTGGTCAGTCTGGATCATCCGACCAACGCGAAGGGCGAAATATTTGTTCAACCGTCTCAGCCGTCATCTGTGGCCTCCCGCTCGACCGTCGGCAGCGACGAGTTTGTGCTACCGTAAGAGGCGGAGAGATGGCACCCCCCCTAGACAGACTTTCAGAGCTTGATGAAACTGTTACCAAGCGGGTGCGGAAAGAACCCGATACTCCTACGGCAAGCCCCTCGACGAGATGTTTCCAAAACCACCAACGTTGTTAGCGTTGGCATATTCTTGGTTGTGGAGCAATCGGGTTTCGAAAATCAGTCAAGCGGGGGTCCCATCTCTGCGCCTGTTGTTGCGGATAATCAGCCGTGGCACGCGGTCCGAGACTGGCTCCAGCAAGGCATCCTCCCGCCACCAAGGGAAGGGGTTGCATCTTTTTGTGCTCTATACCTAGGACGACATCCATCCATTGCTCTTCCAGCTAGCTCAACGTTGTCGCGCCTTTTAGTCGAAAACGGGGGAGGGGGGACCCAATGAGGGTGAGGAGAGGGACTCAACAAAGACTACAGGTAGTCACGCGGACGTTGCGTCCCATGGCAACCTGAAACCGACACGTGAAGTGGCACCTTGGAGAAAAATGTAACCCCCGGAGCATATTTATTGGTCATTTGCAGTATGTACTTGATGAGAGTGCGCTTGTCGACGCACAGATGCTACAGCCCTCCTACTACCTGGTGGGTGCCGGGAACCAAATACCCCGTTCATTCCATAGCTGTCAGCACCGTAGCCTCTCCCCCCGAATGGGAAAGCGTGCATGTGGCGGATCCCCTCGCCCCCCTGACACAAAGCCCTTCCTTTCCCGGTCCAGCATGTTTTTCGCCCCTCCTACCCCCAACCCTCATACCGAGACTAGCCATGACTAAATATTGTGCGAAACGTGAATGAACAGAAAATACAACAGCACTCTTGCAATGAACAGAAAACAAGAGCACTAGACTATGGCAGGTGGAACCACCGAGGGAATTCGAAAATAAGACGGCGGCACGGGGCAATAGGCTACCTGACGAATAACATTACGGCAGTAGAGGCCACCGATAAAACCGATCAACAAGACGGTGGCACGTGGCAATACTACAATAGAGGTCCCTGTTTGCAGCTGGTGCCGTTTGAACAATAGTAAGTTGCCGGTGCCCGGTATAGTGCCGGTGTTTTCGGCGGGCACACACTGAATCTCCACATAATTCTCAAATAATTTGAATGCTGCGGGTCCGGTAAGTGCCGGCAAACTTTCTGGGCACATACTGGCACTACGCAGGGACCTCTACTGTGTATGACTTCCTTCAAAGTAGATAATGACATATTATACGACTTCCAAGTAGGTGTCTAGGCACGTGCACGTTGTTTGTTTGCCGCAGCCCTCTGCCCACGAAATTATATATCTCACTGACGGAACTCCGGCGAGCTCGGCGTTGTCGTGGTCGCACTGGCTGGCGCGACGCACACAACGGACAAAAAAGCACGCCATCCGCAAAATGTCATGGTATGGACCCGCACAAACAGCGAGAGAGAAGACCCAAAACTGCTTCGTGAGGCCGCCAATGTGATCATCAACAGCAACGAAAACACCGCACCGGTAACGAGCGATTTACTCAAACAACGCCAACAAAACAACAGCAGCTGCAAACTACTACACAACAGACAACAACAAATAACAATAAAAAACAACAACAACGACACGGACAAACAACAATCACCAACAACATCAAATGTTCCTCGCAACTATTTAACAGCCGCACGAAACGAACCAAGCAAAATAATCGAGTGCCAAAAACCGCCACACTGTTACGACGTTACCGGGTAGTAGTAGCTCATCAGTAGAAACCCGCGACAAAAACGACACGACAAAAACAAAACATTGCCACGAACAGCAGGAGACAAGAAGGGAAATATTAATATTCTATGGAGGTGCACCAGCCACCCACACGCCCTTGTCAGTACCCGATCCTATTGGATTCCTTCCAGGCATTATGTACGATGTTGGGCATGCGGACAAGATCGGACCGCCTTCTTCGCGAGATAAACAAGCTTGCAAGGAAATATAACAAGGAGGGGGGATGCAGACCCTATTCCCTACCCCTAACCCAACTCCGGCGATTGTATGCTATATCCAACATGTGTTGCTTGATACAATAAACCTGCGAAGGATATTGAAAAGGTCAACCACCATGGTTGCTCCCGATACCTAAGGTGACGTGGTCTTTTCCGTTCGCGACGGCATGAAAATACCAACTACCCATGAAAGATAATAGTCTCGGTCGGACCTACGAAAAACACCAACCTTTCGCTTGACGGACACCCTCACAAAACAGCGCAGGATGGCAACAAAAACAGCGCTGATACGAATGACCAGTTGCTGTGGCTCCGTTGGTGACGGAGCACACACAGACAATGTCAGCCCCCCCCCCCCCCCGGGTTTACAGCCGAAGTTCCTGAAGGGGCAAACCCCACAGTCCCGAAAGCTGTCTCCCGTACATAAATGGGCTAACCGCTAACGCATGCAAACATGACCTAACACCACCACCCCCCGTTTACACAGCCGGCGTTCCTGAATACCCCACCCTACAGTCCCGAGAGATATCTCCCGTGGATCAATGGTCTAACCGCTAAGGCTGCAACAATTGAGTGCCCCCCCCGCTCACCCGCCGGGAATGAATGCTAGTTATCCGACGGACGTATTTCTATTGCTCCCGGATGTTTATTTTTTCTCTCTCACACATTAGCTCTATAGTCCACAAAACTGGGGAGCCCGTGGTCGCAAAACCCGGCACATGCGACGCCGCGGGGAAACAAAACAAGAATAGAGTACAAACCACTCGGAAAAAGAAAACAAAATGATAGGAAGAAAAGAACAGCTATCGCACCGACCGGTCGAGAAAAGGAGCCCTAGAAAACCGATAAAAAATAAAACAAAACAAAAATAAACGCAAAAATAAAAAGGGAAAAAGGAGGACGCTTCCCACACCCGCCTAACAAAATCAAAGGGTACCGTACCAGCATCAGGCACTACGCACCAGGTGGGAGTAATGCAGGCAACAGAACAAAGAGGCGGCCGATGGTCACCACCTGGAAGTTAGGAAACATTCAGGACTCAAAAGGCAGGAAACTTGTGAGCACTTGACCTTGGGGACAGACAGGTGCTCAGTTCAGAGTCCTACACTAACATAAAACGCTTACGATGCTGGGGTCAAAGCCCGAAGAACAATGAGACACGGGACACGCGGGGGAAAAACAAGAGGTTACAAATCAGCCACACGGACGAGAACAATGGCGACCCGAACCACAACAAGAGCTCAGGGCAAGGCCTCAGGTCAAGGCCTGCTTCGGACGCACAAAAACGAAGAAAAGAAAAAAAAGCCCTATCGGGAGAGGATGAATCCTTTGGGTCATCAGAAGAAACCTATAACATCTGAATGAAGTGACTCCTGCCACACATTCAGTAGCCCGGACACTCTATTCTCTTCGCATCCGACCCCCGCAATCTCTCTCCGGCCTCCAAAATACAAACAGCATTCCCCTCTTGACTCTGAGAAACACGAGGGAACCGTGAATGCTGCAAAACACCCACCCAGGCCGATGGTCGGATTCTACGAAGAAAACGCCTGCTCTGGCGAAAACTCGAAAGAAAAACTCGCTCAGAACGGCCACTCGTCACAACAACAAAACAAAAAACACCCACAGACGACGAGACTCGCACTGAAACAAGATCGGCGACCAACTCACAAAACTGCGGTGAGCGGCCTTGGAGTTGCCGCATTTCGCGCGAAGGCGTATGTACCATGTTCGCTCGCGACGACATGAAAAAAAGCATGACGACTTAGACTGCTTGTTTCCGCACGGTACCGACAGACCCCACATACATCCATAGTACCCTATGCCCATCCCACATCGGGTACCGTGCCGAACCGAACCCATATCCGTGCCATGCCGTAACGCATCGCTTCGTACCGTATGTACCACCGAGAACTGCACTGCGTGCCGTTGAAACGTTCTTGAAGGGCGGGTACCTTCAAAGATTTTCTTCTCTTCCACGGCACGTTGGCTCTGCCGGAAAGAAGATACACCCGCACCACCACAAAAAAAAAGAAGCTCTCGTCAATGGTTCTTGCACTGTTCATCTAGGTGCGAGATTGTCCTCTCTCTCTCTCTCTCTCTCTCTCTCTCTCTCTCTCTCTCTCTCTCTCTCTCTCTCTCTCTCTCTCTCTCTCTCTCTCTCTCTCTCTGTGTGTGTGTGTCTCTCTCTCGAGAATCGAAACAAACAAACAAATCCGAAATAAATTAACACAAGCAGACGGCACCACCTAGCGTAAAACCCCTGTTTCTCATCCACACATGTGATTTCCCCAACCAATCTAGAGCCAACTTGTTCCCAAGCCGGCCCCTCGGAGGGAAGTAGGGCTTCGACTCCGGTATGTGAGCATCGACGATTTCCTGGCAAGCTATCTACTGTACCGTACGTTGGGCGAGATGCCGAACCCCCTGGACCGATTTTCAAAGCTCGATTTCTCCACTACGAGAGGGATGCCGAAATCAATTGAAAACATTTTCGGAAAGCTATGGACGAGACTGATCCAACGCGGCCATTTTTTTGGTACCGCCACCGCTTTTCCTGTCGAGTAGCGAAGCTTCGAAAATCGGTCCAGGGGGTGTGATATCTCAAGCAACCTACTGTGTGTTCCAATTCCCACAGCAGACCGCGCAACAGGACCCCCAACACGTAGGCTGCCCGGACGAATAATATGTGAAATATAGAGAGGGTGGTTTCGTAACCCTATGCCTAAAATCCTAACCTCCCATCCAACCCGCAACCCCTAATGATGTGGAACTCGGGCCAAGGAGAAAACTTCAGACCGATCTTGAGCGATGACACCAAGCGAGCTGATCAGGCCAGGCCAGTCCGTTCCCGTTGTGTTCCAACCCACACCGATGGAGGTGTCAAGGCATTTTCGTCTCCTTCACCGGACAAGAACAATAAAAAAATACCTCTCCCCCCCCCCCCCCCCACACACCCCGGAAAACCTGCGGGGTAATAGCGGGACAGCTGCCGGGGAAACAAGTAGCGGGGCAACTGCGGGAAAACACAGCGGCTCCTTTTTTTCCTTCAAGTTCCCGCAAAGCTGAGCCTCGAGTAGGGCTCCGGTCTTGGGAGGACGGGCCGGGGTGTGGCGTATGCACAATTCCCTTGCCGCTACCCCGCACTACCTCTGCTGTCCCGCAGCGTTCCTCTAGCTCAGTTCTGAGGGAGTGTTCCCCCGCCGGTGTACACGTACCTAGGTCAACAACGAAAGGCAGGCGCGTGCGTGCCCCACATCACCCGGGACGCGGCATGCCCCACCTCTGCCATCGTCCCGCAACACACGGGGTGCATCAACTCAACTCGGTCCGGGGCGACGCATGCACCCCCTGCTCCTGCTCAACCAAGCTGGTATCGGTCGGCATGATGGTCGTAGCCTTGGAAGTCGACTTCCGGCTGGTGCTGCCCCGGCCGCTGTTGCTGATGCTGCTGCTCCTGCTGCTGCTGCTGCTGCTGCTGCTGCTCGGGTCAGGCGGCGGTTTCTCGCTGCCCTTGCTTTTGCCGCTTTTAGAACGCTTCTGATACCGGCGTCATTGTTGTCGTCGCCGTTTTTTTTGTTTTTTTTAGTTTTGTCCGTTTGTCGTGCGACAGCGAAAAGTCGAACGACAAGGGAAGGGGTGGAAGGTCGGGGGCAAGAAGGTGGGCGAGGTACAAGACTCTGCTGTTTTTCCCCATCATCCTAAAACGGTCAGTGTCCATGTTCAACGTTAGCCCACTCATCAAAACCAGTTCTCAGAAAGGGGCAAAGCCGACAAAACGTCTCCATGAACGAGCACAGACCAATGCTACGCTATCCCACAGGGTACCAGCCCTTCGTAATGTAGTCCATGTTGTGCGTCCCCACAGGGGAAAAAAGGAAAAGAACCTCGAGAAACAGGCTAAAATAATAAAAACATGTATATTGGGTTCTCAACATAGTAGTGGCGGCTTCCGTACGATCAGGATGGCAATCAAAGGAAGTGCCCCAACCAAGAACGGCAAGAACGACGACAGCAGCGTAGCAACAGACCCCAGAAGGAGCAGGACAAGAGAGGGAGTGGCGCGGTAATAGCTGCGTTCGTTGTATTGTCTCGAAGGCCTATCGGCAACAGAACCAGACGACATCAAAACCAACACACGGGTCACTAAATAGCAACAACAGCACGTCAGCAGCAAGAAAATTATAGCACTCACGGATGATCCGTTTTTTCTGCTGCCGTTGGGACACACCTCTCCACCGCCGCCCATGCATTCTGTGGGGCCCCGCCCTAAACCTGCCTCGAGGTTGCCGCTGATGTTGTTGTCGTCGTTTCCAAACCTGAGCACTCCGAGTCTAGCCTTCGAGGCAGAGGTGCCGTTGCAATCGCCGGTTCCGCCGCTGTTCGACTCGCGCCGTAGCAACGACTGCGCGCGCGCGTGTGTGATGCGAATGCAGCGGCAAGGAGGGGGGAGGGGAGGGGGGGGGGGTGTACTCATAGTCGTGCATGCCGTAATCGGTAGACCATAGGAGGGGAGAGGGGGGGAGAGAACGGGAGTGTCAACAACGATGTTGCGACAACCGTAGCGCTGTATCGAGGACTGCGCGCGCGTGCGTGAAGATATTGAAACAGGAAGCTGCGTCACGGGGGAGGGGGAAGGGAGCAGGAGAAGGGATTGCTATCAGCGATAAGGGGGGGGGGGGGCGCACTCTGATGTTTTGCATGCCTTAGCGGTTAGACCATTGACCACGCGTCCTCGAGAGGACGGAGCGTTGTTCCCACAGGACTGATCGATCACCGATGGGCAATCGTTCCTTCCTACTTTGCCAAAGGTGGCTCAAAAACGTCTTCCCTAGTCTGTCTATCCTAACGATATCCCTTCCCGCCTTTTCAAACCACTTCCTACTCCCCAGTACAGCTTCCGTCCTCTCCTCTCTAGAATGGGATTGTTATCGCCGGTTTTGCAATATGATGTTCATCTAGGACCCCCGACAATCCTTCGTCAAGCTGCCATTTTTTCGTGGAGCTCGAAACTGCCGTGCTTCGAGTTGTACCCACCTGTTTTCGAGGGCACCGCAAAATCCAAGGCTACTGCTTGTGGCCAACGTGTGGCACAGACATGCCACGCAATCCCCCCCTTCTACCTCCTCTCCAGGGGGGTAGAGGAAGGACCCCTCATAAAGGACGCACCTCAACCCAAGAACCTCTTATTTGCAAGATGGTCTATGGGATACCCCACGGCGATCACAATACAGGTTTTAGTGTAGGCTTCTCGACCCAGCACCTGTTCTAATGGCCGAGGTCCTTGAATTTGGACTATTTTAGGCTCAAATTGCCAAGTTCTTGAGTGGTGTCGCGTTCTGTATTGATATCTGGGTCATCGACCACGCCCTCTTTGTCATGTTGTTGCGCCCTCTCACCTTTTGTCCTTCTCCGACAAACACTGGTGTCATTGACCACACCGTCCTACGTCTCCCTCCTGTTTTTCTCGAGGAGAGAGAGGGTGCCTTTTCCTCCTGTTTTTATTTTAAACCATCAAAATCACGCTGCTATATGTCATATGCCCTCTTACCTGTTCCTCCTTTCTACCTGATCATTATGCCCTTGCTGTTTAATCCTAAACCCTCAATATCACGTTGTTATACATACCATGTTCCCTCTTACTTCTTCCTCCTTTCTTTTTCTCGAGAGCGTGCGTGGAAGGCTCCGAAGCCTCATTATCACGTTGTAACACATACCTACATGTCCTCTTACCTCTTCCTCCTCTTTCTTCTCGAGAGCGTAGAAAGCCCCGAAGATGATGCCGGTGTCGGCGATGACGTGCACGTACCGCGAGCACCAGCCGATGATCACCAGGCGCTTAGATATCTTGAAGTCAGAGAACTGCAGTTCAGATTCGGCGGGGTACGGGTAGAAACGCACAGCAAAAAAAAACAAACGGTGCGCGGCAGGTGGTAGTAGACATCAGTCGAATGAGTGTTAGGGAGAGACGGTGGTGCATTGTAAAACAACATAGGCTTAACTAGTCTCAACTAATCGACCGCATCAAGTGTGGGGCTAGTATGGGCAGATGAAGGTACTGGGTCGAGAACGATCGGAACGGTTTGTAATGTGAAGACAGCAACAACACCAGTCGCAAGAATTAGCCCAGTTTCCTGCAGTTTTCCCCCATTCACTGAACAGACTTCATCCCGTCCCCTTCGGCGGTGGTTAAATCTCGTTCGGGTAGACTCTCTCTGGTTCTAGGTATATTTCCTGACAGAACTGGACAACGGCATGCTGTGTGTCGATTTGAAGATGCGACAAGTTTCTTCTTCCGGGGGAAGATAGATGCTCAGAAAAAATGGTCGTGATGTCGTCATGCTGTTGTGAATTCGCGCCGCAAGCACACCAGAATTTACCGCGTGGATACTTCATTCAGCTCGAGGGAAACCAGGAGGCATCTGTACATCTATACATACATGTGAAATCATCTCAACAAAATAGCATCGGCCGAGAACCAAGTATGCCAACGGGAATACTTCAGCGCTACTAGCGGGGCGGGCGTAAACACCCCAGAAATCAGTACTGCCAGTGGAGATTGGTCTGACTCTTGGGGCTACGATTGCGTTTTTTTCCTTAGGTCCCACCTCGTTCGTTAGCCTTACAAGGGGAGCGTGGACGCGCTAGATATCAATCTTTCCAAGTGGAGATTGGTCTGACTCTCTTGGGAATCGTTTGGGTGTGCTCCTTGTACGTGCATTTTTGGGCTTCTGGTCCTTGCTCTTATCATCGTACCTCGTCGAACATGAGGACGATCCCATTGTAGAGGTAGACGAACGTCCCGAAAATCGTCAGGATGAAGTCTGCGGGGCGGGAAAACACGTACGAGAACACCCAGGAGGGGACGGTGGGGGCGACAAGCGGGGACACAGACAGACATTGGGGTTTGGGGTTACAAAGGCAACAACCGCCACGAAATACGAAATACAGCAGAGAGAATGACGACACGGGTGGGAATGACGAGGACGTCAAGGGTGGGACACAGACAGACACCGAAAACACGGTAGTGTGTTTTGCGTGCGGCAGTTCGTCAGAGGCGGAAAAGAGAATGGAGGTTGACTCAAGACTGTGCATGATTGACGCGTGAGATTAACGAGTGAGAGATATATCGGCAAGCAAAAGGGATCCCGCGCATCATACCATCATATGCATACGCACATCATCCTCGTAACCCCCCGGAGGCCCCGTAGACCACTACTCTGCTGAGCACCCAAAAAACGGGAAATACACACAAAAAAAACACGTTGCCTACACCGTGAACGTGTTGGATTGCTGGGCTGCGTACTCTGTCAAACAACGAGGATACAATTGAGAAACGAGATCCAGAGTCCTGGCGCTTCGGCTGTTGCACACAAGCACGGTGGGCGAACGGCACTCAAATATCAATTAACAGAGTCAAAGGGCAACAAGCGGCGCAACCGAAGAGCGAAACTTGATGCGTTTGGTGGTCTCACCACACGCTTCCTAAGCCGAAACACGTGATACGATACGGTCAGTTATATGCTAGAAACAACAGCATTTTTTCTCTTGGTATCCGATAGTCTTAAATCACAAGCCTTGGTGAGACTTTGACAAATGAATTTCTTGCAGTACGGATAATTCCACGAACCCACAAAAGCACGATTGCAACCCATAAGACTCGCAGATCCGCACCCATGCACCCACACCTCTGTGCGGCGTTTCCTCCGTCGGGGGGTGGCATTGAGATAATGCGACTGGAGTATGGAAATTTCTCTCTCATATCTGCCAGAGGCGTGGCAAGCCAGTAGTTTATCTGAAGTGAGCTCTCTTCAACCGTAGCCACAATATTCTTGCTCTTTATTCCCTGCGAAAACAACAAAATGCAACTCACCAAACTTGACGATTTCGCGTACGTTGTTTCTTCCTAAAATGCATCCATCTACGCAAAAAAATTCTCGCTCTTTCTTCCCAGCGAAAAACGACAAAAGCACAACTCACGAAACTTGACGCGTTGACTCGTCTTGCAGCACACTTTAAGGCTCGAGAACCTCTCCCCCGAAACAGTGAACAGTACCGCCAGCGCCATCAGCATGCCCGCCACGGTTTGGGTTGCCCCGAAGGACAGGGAGATCCACCGACCATGGCTCTCCTGCAAGCAAGCAAGCAAGCAAGCAAGCAAGCAAGCAAGCAAGCAAGCAAGCAAGCAAGCAAGCAAGCAAGCGCGGCGGTGTAGCACGAGCAACGCAGCACGCACGTGCAGCGGTAAGGGTGATTGCACGGCGTTTTTCGTTTTCAAGGAGGTGCGTACAACAAATACGAATACACACGGAAAAACACCAAGCAAGACCTCTACGTACGCCTTCAAACGAAGACACGATTTTTTTTTCGCGCGATCAGAACATTTCAGATGGCGAACCGGATCGCTATCGGCGCAACTGTACCTTTGTTTCCCTGTGTGTGTCATTTGGGCACCATAGGTCGCACAAGATACCGCACACCATGGACCACACTTCAACGCTCGACTACTGCCACGACGAAGAGGATGCACAATCAACAGATAAGGCAGTAGGACAGCTACCAAAACATGCCGTGCCGAACAAAGGAAAAACGCATGCGTAGTGCTTATGGCACACACACAGAAAGGGACGCGCAGTAACATATCGTTTAGAAACAGAGGCTCAAGTTTCCACAGAAAGAAAGAGAGCATGTCTGAGAAACACAGCTCAGGGATGGATCCTGCACTAAGCCCTGCCATATAAAAACCTGTGTTCGACAGTGGCGAACAAGAAAGAAGTCGAGCCTCGACCCGATTTGGACGTTTTCTTATCTCCGTGCCCGCTCTGACTGCATCTTCCGGGAAAAATCCCGTGGTACATGACCGTGGAACGCAGGTTGTATACGAACCCGTGCTCGACGAAAAACGAAACTGAGCCTCGATCTGGTCTTCACGTTATTTATAGCTCCGGGCCAGTTCTGTACCATCGACGAGTTACAATTCCCAAGGTGCCCTCCAAGTGCGCGTGGTATCACCAATATGGCTCGAATGCTCCACACCGTACAAAGTCTACCGTGTACGTGACATAAGACATCACACCCCCTGGACTGATTTTCGAAGCTCGAATACTGCGTAGCAAAGAGTGTGTCAAAGCGGAAAGATGGCCGCGTTCGAACCCTCTCGTCGAGGGCCTTTTAGTAAACGTTTCGTTTGATTTGTACATCCTCTTCATCGCGGAGTAACCTGCCTTTGAAAATCGGTCCCGCGGGTGTGGTATCATCCGCCATGTCGCCTACGGTGCATCGATTGGTAGAACCTACCCTCCGGTGTAGTGATACAGAACGCGCCAGCACTTAAGAACCCAGGAGTCAAGAAATTGAGGCTAAAAGAAACAAATCAAAATTGATGAACTTGAGCACCATTCAATGAGCTCGGTAAAGAACCCCCGCACTAACACCTACATCGCGACCATTTGTAGCATGACCCCCGGGACTAAGAACCCCAGCCTCAGCCGAAACTACATAGAGCTTCTTAAGTGGTGGCGCGCTCTGTACCCATATTCCGGTGGCCGTTACCCAGAACTAGCTACCCTTAACGACAGCGCCCCCTATGCCTACGAAGGGAATACTCAAGCATCGTTGGGCGTTTTGCTTGGCCGCCCTTCAACTCACGTTGCCGGTGTTCGTCACCCAGAAGTACCCGCCCGTGATGAGGACGCCGTTCCAGAAGACCGCAGAAAGAACCGTGGCTAAAATCGCCAGCACCAGGCAAACGCAGGCCGCCCGCGTGGACCCGATCATCGTCGGTACTCTTCTAAGCTTGACGAACGACTGAAGACGCCACCAACCGCGTTTCATGGCCACAGAAGGGCGCGGGTGAACAAGACCGCACACGGGAGGGGAGATGAGGTTGGGTAAGCGCAACCCTGACCCATGGTAATGTCAGTGGCGAGAGGTTGGAGACGGATCAACAGGTCTCGTTGGTATGATCCCTGAAATATGATCGTGAGGACGGTGTCAATGGTGGGACGGGACATGCATCAAATAGGTCTCGGTGGCATGGTCCTATGGACTAGGATCGTGATGAGAACAGCAATGGTGAACGGGATATGGATCATACTTCGTAGTTCTACGTTGGCGTGACAAATGAATGATGCTCGCGATGAGAGTGTTTTTGGCGAGAATGGACATCGAACAGTAGTTTTCCGTTCGTGTAATCCGTGAACGACGCTGTGACAAAGGTGGCAATGGTGGGCCGGGAGAATGGTCATACCTGAACGATGCTCGCGATGAGAATGGCAATGGCGAGGCTGGAGATTGACCACAAGTTCAACGCCGTCAGCTCCAAGAACTTGAGGAAATAGATGAAGGGGCCTGAGTCATCCCTGGAGCTCCAGCAGTTGAGCACCATCACCGACATGATGAACTGGCTCATGACATACATGACGCCGCTTAAAAATTGTTCAAGGAAGCGTTGGCGGGACGCGGAAAGGAGGGCGGGGGGGGGGGGGGGGGCAACCACCCCTATTTTTTAACCCCCCCCCCCCAAAAGATTTTTCCCCCTTTTTTGGGGGGGCGGCCCCCCCCCCCCACCCTTTGGGTGTGCTCCCCCCCCATTGGGGGGGTACCACCCCAAAAAAAAAAATTCTGGAAAGGCCCCGGAGGGGGGGTTCAAGGGGAGGGTAAAAAAACCTTTTCCCCCCCCCCCCCCCAAAAAAACCAAAATTACCCGGGAGCCGCAAAAAATAAAAAAAAAAAAAATTTCACAACCCCAAAAACCACCCCCCCCATTAAAAAGGGGCGGCGACAAAAACCCGGGGACAACCCCCCCAGCCCCCAAAACCCAACCCTCAACACCAACCACC